TATACTTGGATTATACAGTCCCAATGGATTTATAAATTTGACAAATGCCTTTTAATTGCTCAAACATAGAACAAAAAATCTTTAGCTGACTTGTGCACACTGCACATTCCATGCTTGTGTTAATGCAGATAATATATATATATATATATATATATATATATATATACACACACACACATATATGCTACCTTTAAAAGTTTATGAGTTTTCAGTAAAAAAGAACCAGGGACAAATCAATCAGTAGATTCCAGGGTAGTTTCTTGCCTAGTGGCTATCTTTGCTACAACAAAGCAAACTCTATATGGAGGTTTTTTTCATGCCCACCGTTCTTTTTTGAACAGTGTCACCTGTCCTGTAGTCTTTCTTGGTTTCTTTTTTATGTCTGTAGCCAAGATTTTCAGGAGGTATCCCCCAATAAAATCTGATCTTCATTAATTTTGAAGGAAACCATTATCTTTTGTTTCCTATGGAAACAAAAAAGCATAACCTCTGCCCCCAACACAACATACTTTATAACTTCCATTTTGAGGTTAAAACATCCTTAAAAATATATAGATTGGTTTAATTTAGCAGTTTCCATAATCCAATGTCTGTCAGCAACTATAGTGCTTTTTGTATATTAGCATTTAAAAAAATTGAAAGTCAGCAATGTACCATACAGGATCTAGACCCCTGTGTATTTCTCATTTTTACATTTACATAATATTTTTCATTATTACAGTGTGCAATATATATTCTTATTGCATTATTTTATTTGTTTAAAGACCTTATTATCTTTAAACTATTTATTTTTCTATGACTGTCTACACCCATCTTTTACTGTATCTATTTCAAGGTTTTCTAGGTCTGGACCACTTTACTATGTACCTTCAGCCTTCTCTAACTGCTCTAGCCCGGAACAGCATTTACTTGCCCCAGCTATGTAAATTTGCTGAGCCCATGCTGTTTCTATCTAGCACCAGCTGTCCAAGTGCTCACTGTATAGTAGCTACACCTCTGTGAGCTGCAAGCACTGGGTTACTTAGGAAGCTGTGCCCACTTTTTTAAAAGGGTTCTCAGGCCTTATGTGGAAATACATGCCCTGAGTCTGAGTGTCATATGTAACAAGTTTTTCTCCTGCCATTCAGCTCCCAAATAATGGCATGGAGAATTCACATTATTTATGAAATCTCAGCCTATATCTTAGTCTTGTTCCTAACTAGTTCTTGTAACTTAAATCAATCCATTTATATTTAATCTACATTTTATCACATGACATTACTGCTCTTCCATCTTGCACCTTCTGCTTCCTCCCTATGTCTGGCTAGCCTGTGTGGTGTGCACCTAGATTCCTCCTCCTCTTTCCTTCTTTTCCTGGAAGTACCACCTCTACCTCCTGCCTAGCTATTGGCTGTTAAGCTTTTATTACAAGAATCACGGCAATACATCTTCACGCAGTTACAAATACCCACACCACACACTCCATTGGCTTTTACCAATTCTCAAATTTGCTGGCAGTCTCATTTCAAGGACAGTCTCATGAAGTACAGGTATTAGGGGTTTCTCTAGGTGTTAGCACCCCCAGATCACAGTGCAAAGCATAGTCTCTTCAGAAGAGGGTTGAGACAATGGGGTCACAGCTGTGCCCAAGTCACCACTGTAAGAAAATGCTTTGTTCATCTGCACCTTTTCACCTTCTGGTTTGCGAATATAAAGCCTTCAGCCATGCTGTTGTGATCCTCTCTACATACTTGACACCATTGCAGCAGAACACAGCATAAGCTGCTGGAGAAGTTTAAGTTACTATTATTTACCAAGCATCCAAGTTCCAGGCGCCAGGTGGGGAGTTTAGATCCAATATTGCATTCGTTCTCTTTTGCTCAAGAAGGGTAATCATTTCCTTTTCTTTTCTAAGTTTCTAAGTTGTAAAACAAAACAAAACAAAATAAAGAAACCATAAAGAACACTTGTGGTTTGAATGAGAACAACCTCCACAGGTTCCTATGTTTGACTATTTGGTCCCCATCTGGTGGAACTATTTGGGAAGGATTTGGAAGGAGGTATGGCTATATTGGAGGAGGTGTGCCACTGGCGGCTGGCTTAGAGATTTCAAAAGCTCAAACCAGTCCCACTGTCTCCCCTTTTGTCTCATGGTTGTGTTTCAAGATGCAAGCTCTCAGCTACTGCTCAGTGCTATGCCTGGTTGCCTGATGCCATAGTTCCTGCCATGACTGTCATGACTCTGTAGGTCCAAATAAACTCTTTCTTCTTAACAAAGTTGCCTTGGTCATAGTATCTTATCATAGCAATAGAAAAATAACTAAGACAGCCAGAAAGACTAGCTATGCAAGGAGGGTTGCAGATGACTAAGAAGTTCCTGTCTTTATTACTGGCTTTGTATTTTTTGCTGTTCTGACATTATTATACTGCAGCTTATCCCATTTTTTTTAAATAATGAAATATTTAGACACGCTCATCACATTTTTAAAAATAATGAAATATTTAGACGTATGTTTTTAGCCTTTTAAATTATAGAGCTCCAGTGATTGTATGAGTTTCATCAAGGGGAACAAAAGCTGTATTCACCTGGTTTCTCACTGCTATATTTTTATGCTATTTGCTTGTTTGTTCTGTTAGAGCACGCTTCACACAAATTCTAAAAGAGAGTGGTGTTTTTGCTTTGTTTCCAAATAAGGGAACCACTGTCTATCACTCTGGGAGTGGGAGGGTCTGATGAGCCAGGACAAGGTAAATAGGAAACCTTGTTGTGCTGCCTCTTTGGGATTAACGGCCATCTCACAGAGAAGCCATTGCTTCTTTAATGCTCTGTCTCTCCTGTAACTAGGAACATATCGACTGTCTAAGATTTATATCTTTCTTTGAAGTTGAAAGATGCCACTTTAACTGTGTTCTTATCTTCTACATCCCACTGAATGAATAACCCAAATTACATAGAACAGCAGCAAATTGGCTCATCATAGCCCTGTTACAATTTCAAAAGAATGAGCATCTGAAGAGGCAGAAAGCCTGAAGGAACTAGGGAGGCCTGGCTAAGGAGCTGCCAGGTCTGTCCTCAGAAGGATGTGGATTCTGATTTACCCTTGGTCTGTAGTGATCACAAATCATTCACATTCTGTGTCGTGTTTGCACGTGTCCTCAGCATAGATGCCTGACAGCTTGCCTGTGCCAGCCCTGCTGTCTCCTCTGGGAGGACAGGATGCACTGAGCCACATGTGGGATGTAAATCATCCCCTCCCAAATAAAGCCATCTTTGCAAAGTGAAGGCCAAGGTGTCAGAGGATGCCTGGCCTTCTCACTGCCAGCTGCCCACCTCTCTTCTAGCTCCCCACCTCAGGAGGAAAGTTACAGCAGCTGGTTGCTTGACTGGTGAGCTTGGGACAGACAGAACTTAAACAACATACATGCATACCAACAAGAAGGGCACTTTCCAAACGACATAATTCTCCTTTGTGGTGATAAAACACCAGGGCACAAGTCCAAGTTTGACTCCGTTATTGAGCGTTATCTTTGAACCCTAAATAAAGTCGGCAGTGATTTTCCAGCTGCCAGACTCCAGGTCCCCGTTCTGAACAACAAAATAACTAGCGGAACAGTAATAGCTGCAAGAATCTCTCACTGATTAGATTAATACTGATAGTGTGAGTCTGTGGATCGCTTCAGCTAGTCAATTAACAAGCTAACTCTTAGCCATCCAAATCATAGATTCTTATTTATTTATTTATGCTCATGTTTCGTAGGATTCAGTGAAAAAGTACACCACTAATCAGAGAGCTTTGGGATGATTCTGAGGCATGGATAAGCATCAGCGTCCTCGTTAGGAATTAGAATGCTCTGTCTTAGGAGGAAACAAAGCTCCTCTTGACAGAAGACTCCATAGAGTACCTTCCTCCCACAGGTTGTGACTTCTTCCTCCCGATTTGATACTGACCAGCAAGGAGGTGACTCAATATTGGGAAAAAAGTCTTCTATATCCTGCCAGGGTATGCCTCTGTTGGGTACCTGGATGACGCCGAACAACGGTGCTGAGCCACCCAAGTGCATAAATAGCACCGACACCCACAAGAAAGCATGCTTTCTGAAACCATCGAGGAGCCCAGCTCTCCAACTTGACCACACTGAGAGCAAGAACTGCTTGATCCCCGTTTTAAATTACCGGCCTCCATTTGAACTAGTGTTGGCAGGTAGTGGTGAGACACCCAGAGGCAGGGAGGTGCAAAGAAAGCCCCCCCCTTTTTTGGAAATGTTTGCTTCTGCTAGAGATCTGAGGTGGGGGCAAAATAAAAACATTCACAACGTCTGAAAGAAAAGGACAGAAACTTCCTTCTCGAAATCTTCAGGAGCGATCCTTATGCCCTAGATGGATTGATTGGAGGAAGCAAAGCAAAGCCTGTACCAGGCCATAGGTTTGGACTCAGCAGATATCCCACACCCACCCACCATCTCTCGCTATCATTTCTCCCCCTATGGACCGGTCCGTCAGATCTTTGTTTATATTTACCTACAACCTGATTGCTTCAGCTGTGGGCTGGATCTCGAAAGGCCATCTCCTGACATGGAAACGGAAACCACTCTCTCTAGTGGAAAGTGGTCTCAGGGATATTCAGACAGCTGAAGCTCTGCAAGAAGCCTTTCTTCAGCTAGCCCTGTAGGTATGGAGATTTCAGACTTTCCTTCTCAGAGCCCGACTCTCCTCCCCGGGTTCTGCAGCTTCCTCTCCCTCAATGTTCCTTCTTCCCGAGGCTCGCCCTCTGGCATCCCTGTCACCAGATTCAAAATAGGGGCCCAGATACACGTTATGACTGCTTTTGGCACTGAGCAGGGATAGGACGTGAGGGAAAGTTGGTTTTATTTATTGATTTTTTAAAAAAACAAACCGTCTTGTAGGATGCTGTTTGGGCTAGATGTCCTCGAATCTGAACAAGGCGTCTTAAAATGAATGCCAAGCAGCTACTTCGCCTGCCTGGAACTGAACGTTGTTCCCACAGCGGGGACCAGAATGTGGCTCCATCAGGTGGAAACCTTAAGGGGTCGAGTGGAGCCAAATCTCAGGAGAGAAAGAGGTCTAAAACGCAATTCAGCCGCAGCCACAACCGGCTGGGCCCCGGGGACCCGGCGGAGAATGGCCCTCTCGACTGAAGCGCGGGCTACGCTCGTGTATAGGGTTGCAATTCGCCGTGATAAATGTAAAGACCAATTAAGGTTTGATCCGTGCACACAGGAGGCAGACGGCAGCGGATAGTGGAACCAATTAACGAGCATGTCCCCTAATTCCTGCGGCGGCGGCCGGGCGCACCGCTGGTCCCCAGGCGCCCGCCCCAGCAGAGCCCCCGCCCGCCGCGGCGGCGTCTCCCCGCGAGCAGGAGGTGCGGGGAGAGCCAGGGCTGGGGAGGGGGCGCCGGCCGCCCACGGAGCCGAGCGTGTGCGGCCCCCGCCGGAGGCTGGGCGCGCCCGAGTGGTCTTGCGGGTTAGCGCGGGAGGCGCCCGGGCGACGTCGTGCGCCCCGAGGGCGGAGGACTGGTGGCGGCGGCCAGGTAGCTCAGAGAGCGGGGGCGGCGGCGGCGCGCAGGGGAGGGTCGGGCGGAGACCGCACCCGGACGGCATGCCTGCTACCTTGGCTCCGGGTCCCGGCTGCCCGGTGTGTGACCTCCCGCGAGGTGCTGGCACTGAGCAGCGCGCGTGATTAACGGCCCCGAGGTCGCGGGCATTGAGGCACGCGTCCCCTTTGGCCCCTTCAGGGTGGGAGGGCGCCAGGGAGCAGAACAGGGTCAGGCCGCGGGGGTCCCCGGGGCGCGGCGGTGGCGGAGAATGAGGATGACACAGTGGGCACCACGCGCCAAGGGCCGGCCCTCTCTGGCCCCCGGGCCAGCGCCGCGGCGGGGACCGCGCAGCAAAGTTTGGAGCCGCGGGCGCCGCGCGCCGGTCCCTCCCCGCGCAGATCCCTTGGCGGAGTCTCTGCTGCCGCCGCTGCCAGGGCAGGACAAAGGCTCATTAACACGTGATGGGACCACGCTTCATAAATGGGACTGGAGCGAGAGCGAGCCAGAGACAGCGCGCAAGCGGAGGGAGAGGCAGGGACCGCGAGCAGGGCGCGGCGACGGGCGCTTGGGCTGGCCCAGGCGGGCGGCCCCACGCCGGCCAGCGCGGTCAACGGGACGCCAGGGAGAGCCAGGGAACGAACCGGGCCTGCCAGAGCCCAGGGGCGACAGTCCTGGGGGCTGTGGCGCACGGGTGTTGGAAGCCGGGGACGCGGGGCGCGCAGACCGACTGACTTACTGACCGATCGCCGCAGGCACGCCCCGCTCCACCCCGCCCCACCGCGCCCCGCGCCGCCTCCCCAGCTCGCTCTCTGCCTCTACCTTCTCCACTTCTTATCCACCTCCTCCTCCTTCGGGCTCCCCTGGCGCCAGAGCCTTCCCCTGGCTCAGGCGGGAGCCTGGACTGTCTGCAGAGCTCTCGTAAGAGTCTGGGGGCAGATTTCCTTGTAGCGGAGAGCCAGCCCCTTGGCTGGGCGACAGGTGCCGAGGGAGCTTCTGGCCCGTGGACCAGGGGATGCGAAGGGTAAGACCTGGCACAGTGACGTTTGGGAATAGCTTTTCCGCCTCCCGCCCCCCTCGGTACTGGCCAGTGGTCCCCAGGTGTCCTACGTGGAGTTCTTGTTCCAGGAGAGTAAATCGTGCGTCGGTGGTGTTTACTTAGCTGTATAGTCCCAGCTTGTTAACTGTGGTCTGAGCTACTCCTGGAGGCTTCTACCATTTACAAAATATGGAACGTGCATCTAGCTCTGTAGACACTGATGTCTGTTTGTAGAAAATGTGTAATTGTGTATGCTTGAAAAAACAGGTGCTTGAGTTGATGCGTGATGTCTTTTAACCATATCAGAAACTAAGTCTTCCAGAGAAATACATGTCTCTGCACCAAAATCTGGTAAACGACTCGACCAAGATATTAAATGGCGTGTAAAAAAAATCTATGTCAAATAATGAACTTCCGATAGAGAACGATAGCTACAATAGCCATTTCTCTTTAAGGAAAAACTAATATGCATAGTAATTGAACGTTATAATACCATGCAACTAAGAGCTGTCACCAGGTGAACAAAGTTGATGCTTCATTTAGGATATTTCTTGGTAAGGCTTACAAGTCATAAATGGGAGCATCTCCTGAATGCAAATGTTTGTGGGATAGATGTCAAAAACTGGTCATTTCAAAGTTTAAAGCAACATGCATGTTTTTAATTGTAGTACATGGTTCATCTCTCAAAGGCTTGAAAGAGATGAGAAAAATTTAGCAACCTGTTTATGAAGCATTCTGTTTCCCATCTTTTTAATTTTCTTCCAGATAGGAGCTGTTAGCCTTTGTTTACCTCTTGGTTTATTAAGCCTCCTTGGGCATTTAATCCAATAACAGATTAGAGCAGATTTACTGGTTTTAAAGATGTTGAAAGATACCTCTCTGGGTTCCCTAACTTCTCCTTTTATTACCAAGTTAATTCCTTTGAACAATGGGGGCAATGCACACGCTTAGAGGAAACTCAGTGGGCACTGATTATCTGTGGGTTCACTCCTAAATCCCGTTTGGCAGAAAATTGAGAAAATAGGAGCAGCCAGCCTTTGAGGTTCCTGCAGGACTGTGTGGCTTAAAGTGTTGCTTTTCAACCCCAGCTTTTGGCAATTTGAAAGGGAGATAGATCTACTGATTGATTTTTCTCTGCCTCCCATTTCCCTCCATACCCCTCCCTTCTCTAACTCAGTTATGAGCAATTTTATCAAAATGAAAGGCCGTGAATAGTTTCTTAACCGGGAGAATAATTTTCTGATTGCATCCACCCAGGAACACAATCCGTGCACCTCCAGAATGCTAAGTAGCACTACTGCAGGCAGTTGTTTGTAGGCACGCTAGTACTTCCTGTAGCAAGGAAGGAGGCTTGATGTTGATGTGGTTTTTAAAAACTAGTCATCTGAGGTCATTAGGAGAACTTACTGTGAACAATCTTTTTTATTGCTTCAAAAGATGTCTCCCATTCCACGCAAGGAACACTGTGGCTGAGGTATGTATGTATCAGATGTCTAATGGGGTGGGGGGATTTCATTGTGTTCCTGATCCTACATGAGGGTGTGATAATACCACATGGTGGGAATGCTCACTTCTGACCTTTCCAAATCACTGTGCTTGTAATGCTCCTTGTTAAGAAGACAAACCTCATATTTCTGCCCCCCAGTTTTAATGACATCAGTGGCTGTGTATCGAAAGGGATGTTGTTACTAGAACCTTGATTAAGCCATAGGTGATGTTACTTAATTGTGTGTGTGTGTGCGGGTGTGCAAAGTTTGTAATTCTGGTGAAATGAGACCTCACCGTGGAGCAGGGCTCGGCTTTGTTTGCTGTCTAGTGTTTTTTTTTTTTTTTTTCTGTTACCCATCTCCCAGCGGACTGTGTTCCTTTCTGCCTTGCCTGGGAGACTGCTCTTGTCTAATAAACCTAGCTGCAGGATCAGTGTGTTCTTTCTGGCATTTCGAAATGTTAAAATAGTGAAATTGTTAAATGTTACCCAGATGAAACTGCTGGGGATGAAATTCTCCAAAAGAACCATGGTATTGGTGACATGCTGTGTATTACAGGCAATTCTGCAGGAAAACTCCATGAACGGTTTTTTTCTATTTTCCCAAGAAGGAAGCAGTCCCCATTGATTGTGTTGATAAGTGTTTAGTATGCTGTGTCAGCTTATTAATTATGAAGGCAAAGCCTGTGGAACTCTTCAAACACCATCCATGACATTCTTCTTCGCCTTGACTCAGAATTAGCATTAACCACTAGGGTATTTAGACAGTCTCCTTGGTTTTCTCGTGTACTGGTCTTAGAAACTAGAATTGAATTTCCGTATTAGAAGCAAGTATTATGAAATAGAGCTTATATACTAGCAGTTTAGAGTTCATGACACTTACCAAATGCTTCTTTCCAGAAAACAGTTGGCCTAACAAGTAATTTCTTGTAACTAGCTAGTCAGGAATTTGTAAGGAAAAAAACAGTGGCAAATTGAATTTTAGATATACCCAATGACACAGAATTTGTAAAGTGCAATTGGTGATAGCTTCTTGAATTTGGTTAGTGAGATGGAGTCTCTCCTTTAGGATGTTGCCTGTTCGTCTTGGAGGTAATTACGTTAGTTTAGTTGCGTAAGGAACACAGTTCAGAGCTCGGGTCCCCAGTGTTTAAAGGATGTTGTGTCTTCCCAGGTAAAGCCCTGTCTATCTTATTTTGGTAGTTATTTCTAACTGAGCTGATAGAGTGAAACCAGCTTTGGGGTTTAAATTATTTATAATTTTTTTTTGCTGTAAACCTGGACTGGACATTTTTTGAAAAGCTGCCAGGGCCACGTCAGGACTGCACACCTGTATTTGCAGAGGCATGCAGCTCTGCTTGTTTTTCTCCTACTGCCTGCAGATGATGAAGAGATCAAGAGGGAATAAAAACATCATTTATGTATTTGAAGTTCCTGTTTTGTGCCATCTTCCCAAATCTTCAGTTCTTTCCCAATCTTGTGTGTGTGTGTGTGTGTGTGTATATATATATACACATACATATAATATATATATATATATATATATAAATGCTAACTTCACGTTATAGCTGCACAGATTCTCCTTTGTGTGGGTTGAGACTTCAACACTTCACTGCTGAATTGCTAATTCCTTAATAACTATTTAATTCACTTTGCTGTATGTTCTTAGGTTAGATTAGACTCATCTTAAAAAGTTCATTTCAGATTCTAAAATATCTCCTGGACTAGAAGAAGTGATAAATGTCACCCAGAACATCAATGCTCTCAAACTCTATACCGCATAATTTAAAAATATGAATGTGTAGACACACTTCTGTGCATAGGCATGAGCATACTTTTTATGTCTAGTCCAGGTGTAAATAAAAGTTGAGGTACATTGCCTTTTTATGTATTTGAGAATGCCACTCTGGTTTTAAATGAATACTGCAGCTGTGGGAAGATGGCCAAGTTCTAAGCAACTGTACAGATGGACCCAGAAGACTCCAAGCAAAAGGAAGATCTCACCTTGAATCAAAACCAGGCTGTTTTGCTCCCCAGGGTAGATGGAGATCTGCTCCAGTCCCGTGTGTTCTAAGAATCTTGGGAATGCACCGGGATGAGCATCAGCACGTTTGATTACAGTTTCATCATAAACACCAATGGGTTGAAGGCAGCTTTTTGCCAGCCTTGATAATGAGCAGTTTTGAATATACTAATTGGCAAAAAAAATCACAAAATTTATGTTAAAATAACCCCATTTGCTTTATATGTCAAGCATTATTATGTTATTACAAGGACGTTAAAATCATAGGAAATATGTGAGAG